GTGGGTCTCGGGGAGCCTCTTCCGTGGGTCTCGGGGAGCCTCTTCCGTGGGTCTCGGGGAGCCTCTTCCGTGGGTGTGGGTCTTGGGGGTCCTCATCCATAGGCACAGGGCACGGGGAGCCTCTTCCAGGGGCCTCAGGGCACCTCATTCACCCTGCGAGAGCCTGAGGGGGTGGGTGTTTTTCTCCCGGATGCGGACTTGGGGCGCCTCTTCCGCAGGGACGAGTCTCTGGGGGCCTCTTCCGCGGGCCTCTCATGTGGGTGTGGAAAGGGCCAGTGCCGCAGCGCCCCCGCAGTGCGGCCCTGGGGCCGGCGGCCGCCCTCACCGCTGCGCTCTCCTCTGCCTGCAGGCCTTCCTGGAGCGTTACCTCAGCGCGGGGCCCACGATGCAGTACGACAGGGAGCGCTGGCTGTCCACGCAGTGGAGACTGGTGAGCGAGGAGGCTGTGACCAACGGCCTGCAGGACGGCCTCGTCTTCGTCCTCAAGTGCTTGGACTTCAGCCTCGTGGTCACTGTGAAGAAAATCCCCTTCATCGTGCTCTCTGAGGAGTTCATAGACCCCAAGTCTCACAAATTTGTCCTCCGCTTACAGTCTGAGACGTCGGTTTAAAAAAAGTTCTACATTGGTGGCTTTCTGGAAAAAATTTAAAAAACGGATGGAGAGAGAGTTACAGGAGCGCGTCGCCCTTGTTCTTCGTTGCTGAGACTGGCAGATGACAGACCAGCGCCCTTCGACCATCTGCACTTTATCTGGAAGGAAGCAGGGCACGTCCACCCCGGGAAGCCCCAACTTTGCGGGGCGACGTCTGAAGCCGTCTCTGAGTGTCGTCACAGCTGTAAACCAAAGCCGAGCCGGCGGTTCTCAGGAGGGTGGCCGGCGGCACCCCGTGGGCGTTCATCTGGGACCCCGGCCCGTTGCTTCCGGTCGATCGCGCGGCCGCGGGCTTGTTCCGTTTCGGGAAACCGGACCCCGCGGGGCCACGTGCATCCTGCGTGTGTGAGCCCCGAGCCGGCCTTCAGGGAACGCCTGCCTCATCTTCCTTCTTTGTTGCCTTAGGTTCTTCAGAGAAAGATCACGACAACCGCAAAATGTGCACTACCCGTTTACAGCTCTTAGCGATTTTGTTTCATTGCTTCTGCCTGCCTGTGGCCCATCACTCCCTCCTGGCCGCAGGACTGGCGACTGCCCACGCGTGTCCACTGCATCCTGCCCTCCCCACCACCAGCAATGCCAGCAGGCCGGTGGCCCTCCAGGGGCGGCCTCAAGCCCACCTGGGACTGGCTTTCCTTGGGTGCTTTCCCCTGCGCCCGCAGCTCCCCCAGGGCCCCTCCCTAGGGGAGAGTGGGTCCCCCAGGTGGATCAGGGGCAGCCAGTGCGCTCCCGTTCTCCCTCTCTGCTTCACCCAGGGAGACTGGCACTGTGACCCCACGACTGGCAGCCTCAGCGTGGAGCCCGCTGCCCTGCCCCGGGAGGTCAAGCAGCACCTGGTGGGCTGTAGCTGCTGTCCAGTCCCTGGGCCCCAACCGCCATCACTGTGCACTGGCCCCCTCGGCCACTACAAGCAAGGCCAGCCCTGGGTCAGGCCGCGGGCGCAGTCACTGTGGCTGCAGTTTAACAGCAGAGAAATGGGCAAGCTGTAGAGTTGGGGGGAAGGAAAGTGGGAGCCAGCTGCGCTTCCTAGTCGACCATCCGCGAGCTCTTGCTGGCTGATGCAACCGCTGTGGGGGTGCCTGCCCCCCTGGCCTGAGGGGTGGGGGCCAGGTTGGTGTGGGTTGGGGGGGCGGAGAAGCCTGGGCTGCCCTCTCTGGGCACGGCTCTTGGGGCCACACCCGGGTTCCTTGCAGCCTCTGCTCGCCTTCCTGCGTCCACAGCAAACTCAAGTGCTCACTCTGCTGATCCCAGGCATTTCGGGTCACCAGTCCCCGGCTTTCGTACAGGGTGACACTGTCATGACCGTGTGTGCATGCACACGCGTGTGGGGGGGTGTGAACCTTCTTAGTCCCATGCATATCACAGGTTTGGTTATCTGTATCATACACCTGCTTCTGAAAAAGGAAATGTTCTTACATCAGTACCCTTCCGCTCAGAAAGAAGTGTCGGAAAAGAAGGAAGAAGAAACAAGTGGGTGTCCGGGGAGCCTCATGGCTCCATGTGCAAAAACACTTATACATGTGCTGTGGAACCGTGGTGCTTTGTTCTTAGCTTTGGCCTTTACGTCCCCTCAAGCTGGACATTCCTTAGGATGGTGTCTTTCTCAGGAAATATATTTTGGAGCCAGGGCAAAGGATGGCGAATGCACGCGAGGCTTTGGCTGCTTAAGGGTCGCCTGCCCCAGAGGCGTGTGTGAGCAGCTGAAGGGCTCCGTGTGCTTCCTTTTACCTCGGCCCTCATGTTCTCCAAGACCGAGCTTCCCAACCAGCCCAGAAGGGGGACGGGGTGACTCATAGCTTCGGTGAGTGCATTCCTAGTGGTGTGAGGAAAGGTTTAAATTAAAGGATTTATTTTCTCTCTGCCCCTTTCTCTCTTTCAGAGTTTCTGAAAGTATTTCTTGTTTGAAATTGAATACCCTTTTTATACTGATTTTGTATTGAGTTCTTTTTGAAAGGATAACAGAATAAAATGCAAGATCTTTATATACACTTTGCACTTTCAGACTCTTCCTAGCTTGAGTTCCTGGTGCAGAGGGAACATTGTCAATGGCATTAGAAACACCCAGGCTTTAGAAAGCTGTGTCGCTCGATTGAACACGATGCATTTTATTTCAGCTCATCGAGCCAGTAGAATATTCTTTCTAAAAGTGGCACACCAGCCCTGAAGCTAGTGGAAAGGAGGATGAGTCTGTCTGAGGGGACAGACTTTCATTTGCCTTAAATGTTTATGGATTTTCTATACCTTTCAACCTAAGTTATTAAAACACGAGCATTCAGTGGTAGAGTAGAAGAACTTGACGAGTGTGTGTCCGAGCTGCTCTCTCCCAGTGACGTTTTAACCAGCAGGTGACGTTTGTTCCTAAGTGTGTGCTTTTGAAGATCATGACAATTTTTTTTTATCACCCATGAACTGAATGTCTGCCTTCTCCAAGTTGGAATGGGTTTTGTGTCTCCTACGTCTTTCTCATTATCATTTAAGTCAAAACACCTAATACTTTTGCTAAAGTTCACCCCAAAAGCCCTAGTGAAGATGCATGGCCAGTTTTTGCCCAGCTGGCATCATCTCCCTTGCTTCCTCGCTGGCCTTTCCAAACCTGCAGACGGGACAGTTTCTGTACAATAAGTGGCCAGAAGTACATGGTCTCTCTGTGTGTGTGAGTGTGTGTGTCTGCCGTTTGCAGTGGAGAGGCTGAGTAGTGGGCATGTTGGACTGGATGAGGTGACCCTTCCCCTCCCTGTACGCAGTGAGAGGTGGTCCAGGATCCTCCTCTTCACATTTCACCTTCACTCGAGTGCAGGTATTGGAAGGTGCTGGCTGCAGCACTGTAGTGAACGCACGGCATTGGAAATCGATGGTCATGCCTCCCCCCACCCCCACCCAGCCCATGGCGGGGTGAATGTTCTAGCTGCTCCATGAAACCAGCACAACCAGGTCCGTGTTGGAGGGAGTGTGTTTCCACAGGTGTGGGCGTCTCGTGGAGCGTGTGTGCTCGGGTGGATGACCAGGCCATCGTTAGACATCTGAGTATCATGTCACCTGCAGCAGAGGGTGTGTGTTTCAGCAGGTCAGGTGTGTGTGCAGTTGTCTTTCTGCTCATGCTCTATGTGGGGATGTTTTCTAAATCTGACTCCGTTTTTCTGAGGTTACTTTAAAGCCAGTTGCTTCTCCCTTCTGGTCTTCATTTCTCTTAAGCTGGCTTCTCCTCAGGAGTAAATGGCGTTACCCCAGGCGTCTCTTCTGAAGAGGCTGTTGTCCTGCAGATTAGTCCATTAGAGCCTCTTGCTCAGGGCCTTAGGACCCCAAACATAGGTAGCAGCAAGAGAAAGAAGGTCAAGCTCCATAATTACTGCTCCACCTTCACTACCCTGGAAGCCATAGTCTGTGTTCTGTGCAATACAGCTTACACATTGTACTTCATTAAAAACAATATATATATATATTGATTACTACAAGTAGCACGGAAGTGTTTGCATAGACCCTGCCATTGTAAATGATGTCATTATTGCTGGGTAGCATTTATGCTTTATGGATCTGTTATAAAAAATGAATAAATCACTACTGGGAATTTACTACTATCGAGCCTTGTGGTCCTAATTCCTTATCAGTAGAATTGAGCCCTTCTGCCTAGAGCACAGTTCTTGAATTCTCTTTAGTGCTGGAGTAAAACAATCCTTAGACACTGTTGACATCACCTCGTTGAGCTTTGGTAACTAAGTGGATGTTCAGAAGATTACGTATCCGCTCATGTTTCGATAAAAGATTTTTGCCGATGAGGGGAAAGAGGGGCCTTGAAGTAATGATCAGAGAGTGGGTGTTAGGCACAGTTCTAGAATATGAATTCCTTTGAGGTAGGTGGGGATTGTCTCAGGTTTACAGGTGAGAAAAAGATGATCCGAGAGGGAGGGACTTCCCCAACTTCTCATGGCAGGTAAGTGGCATTCTATAGTCCAGTGTTTGATTCCATTCCCTCAGGCACTGTACCTAGAAGTAGGAGCTAAAGAGTTAGCACTTGGGGGTGTCAAGAAACCTGACACTTAACGGTGAATGAGAACCTGGAGGTGAATGAGAACCTGGAGCAGGAGCCCCCTGGAGCTGAACTGCACCTGCCAGTGCGCCTTGAGTCTGCACCAGCGGTGTGGCCCAATGGTGCAGGGAACCTTCTCTGGGCTGGTGGATTTCTTAGGACTTTCAGTGGAAGGAAGGTGAGATCCCCCCTTTCTCTAGGACAACCAGCCCTGTAGCGGTGCCCCTTCTGCAGAAGGTGGGGGTGCTCCTGGAGCAACCCTCTTTTCCCTTCACCCTCTGCCTCCACCTTGCTAGCTTGCGTAGAAAGGCGCCTTAGGCCTGGGGTGCAGGACCTGACCTGGTCACCCCCCGGCACTGTGACAACTACATTCCGGGGGCAGGAGGGGTGGAGAAGGGCTTTGTAGCTAGACTCCTGCCTGGATGCAAGTGTGCTCAGCAAGCACGTTGCCTCCTGGTGTTCTTCTCACAGTTGCCTCAAGTTTGAACGGAACAGACCGGACTCTGACAGCACAGTTCAGTTGGGTATAAATGGCCTCTTCCTTCCCTGCTCTTCGCTGGCGGTGGAGGACAGGAGAGTCGGGGTGCTACCGACACCTCTCAGCATTGCTACTCGCCAGAGACTAGGGCATTTGACATTTTCAGAAGGTAGATAAGGTAGAGGAAACTGGAATAGAGTCAGATTTCTGGGTCCTGTGAGCCTGTCTCCTACTTAGCTAACCCTGACTTGTTTCGCTTAGAAAGTAAAGGTCTTCAATGCGTTGTTTTCGCGACTGTCCCACATTTCTAACACCTGGAGCAGCAGTGACTGGTCACTTCCCATGTGGCTCTCGGAGCCTGTGTCTCAGCTGGAGAATGTCAGCGTCTGATCCTTGTCTTCACTATAAACACCTCTCTTAACCTTGCGGATAAATGAGACCAATTCCAGTCTTTTTTCTTGAGTGTCTTTGGCATTTGTT